CGCCCAGCTAATTTTGTCATTTTTTAGTAGAGGGCAGGATTTCACCATGGCTTGATCAGGCTGGTCGAGCTCAGGCTGGGTGATCTGCCTGCCTGGCCTCCTAAAGTGCTGGGCCTGGTGTGAGCACACACCGGCCCTCCCATGTTTTGAACCAATTGGGTAAAGTCAATAAAGCTTGACAATGGAACCGTCCATGGCGGATAAGCGCCGCAGTGTGCTAATGTGTTTGCTACCTGTTGTCAGTTCTCATAAGCCCACCCAGCAGAGCATACAACAGCGTGCTGGCCCAGAACTTAGGAGTTTCCCATTGCGCAAAAAATACGTGTGCATCAAACAAGGAATAGTTTATCATTATTCCCCACATTTTGGTTTTGTTTTGTTTTTGTTTTGTTTTTGTTTTTTTGAGATGGAGACTTGCTCTGTCACCCAGGCACAGGTGCACAATCGGCGTGATCTCGGCTCACTACGGCCTCCCCTCCCCACCTCCCGGGTTTCAACAATTCTCCTCCTGCCTGCTAGCCTCCCAAATAGCTGGGATTACGGGTGCCTACAACCATGCCCGGCTAATTTTTGTATCTTTAGCTCAGAGGCAGTTTCACCATATTGTGAAGGCTGGAACCCAAATATATTTTTAAAGTGAAATTCTAATTTACTTAGGAACTTTTAAAATATGGCTGCTGGAAAACAGAGGATACCTCAGGAAGGTGGAGATAAACAATAAATAAGTGAATAAATAAAGAAAGTCTATGTGAGAGGGCCGGGCGTGGTGGCTATAAGCTGTAATCACACTTTATGCCACTTTAAAGGCAGGCGGGCGAGATCACGAGATCAGGAAATGGGAATCATCCTGGCGAGGCAAATTGCAGGAAACCACATCTCTACTAAATAAAAAAACTAGCCATGAGAGGCGTGGTGGCAGGCGCCTGTAGTCCCAGCCTACAGGGAGGCTGAGGCAGGAGAATCAAGTGCCGAACCTGGGTGGCAGCAGAGCTTGCAGTGAGCGAGATCAGGCCACTGCACTCCAGCCTGGGAGACAGAGTGAGAGGGGGCTCAGTTTCAAAAAAAAAAAAAAAAAAGTCTATGTAGGCCGGGCAAGAGGTGGCTCCACTTATAGCTCCAGCACTTGGAAGGCTGGGGCGAAGTCTACCTGAGGCGGGGAGTTTGAGACCAGCTGAGCCGACATGGTGAAAATCCATCTCTACTAAAATACAAAAATTAGCTGGGCAGGCTGGGGCTCATGCCTGTAATTCCAGCACTTTGGGAGGCCGAGGCAGGCCCGGATGACCTGAGGTCAGAATTCAAGACCAGCCTGGCCAACATGGTGAAAACTTGTCTGTACTAAACTCTAAAAATTAGCTAAGGCGTGGTGACTGCGCCTGTAATCCCAGCAACTCAGAGAGGGCTAAAGCGGGAGAATCGAACCGGGAGGTGGAGGTTGCAGTGGCGCAGATTTGCACTCCTTCCAGGCGACGACAGAGTGAGACTCGTCTCAGAAAAAAAAGTCTATCTGGTCTGGCTGGACAGAATCCTGGCTCTGCCACTTGCCCCTATGGCTAGCTGGGCAAACGACTGCTTCCCCTTGCCTCAGTTTCCTCATGTAAAGCGGGAATGGACCAACCACTTGAACCCCCATGGAGAAAGTACCTAAAAGGGACTTCCAGCCTGGTGAGGTGACTCACGCCTGTAATCCCAGCACTTTGGGAAGCCAAGGCAGGCAGATTGCCTGAGGCCAGGGAGTTGGCATGCCAGCCAGCGTGGTGAAACCCTGTCTCTACTAAAAATACAAAATTAGCTGGGCATGGTGGCACATGCCTGTAATCCAGCTACAGGGAGGCTGAGGCAGGAGAATCGGCTTGAGCCAGGCGGGAGGATGCAGTGAGCTGAGATTTGCCATTCAACGCCAGCCTGACGACAGAGCAAGACTCTGTCTCAAAAAAAAAGAAATCTGTCTCGCTGGATTCACTTGGCGGCCAAGCGGATGCCGGCTGTCCCTTCCCACGGAACACTTAAGCCCGCTTTGGCCTCTGCACGCTGTGGGTGGGACAGTCCCCAGTCTGCACAGGAGGACAGAGGAGCTGATGGGGGGATATGACTCGCCGGCCTCCATGGGTCAGGCAGAAGAGGTGATGACAACACCCAGTCCCTGCTCAGATGGGTGGGGGACTTGCTTGCTCCTCGATCACCTCCTTGGCCAGACTGATTCAGTGCTGGAACAGAAGTGAGGGCGTCAGGTGGCAGCAAGCTCCTCCTCCCCCTCCTCTGCCTCCCTCCCTCGCCACTCTGTTCCTATTGCCTTCCTCCTCCCGCCCTGCTCCCTCCTCCTTGGCCTTTTCCCTCCTCCTGCCTCACTCCTTCCCCCCCTCTCCTTCCTCCCCTCCTCCCTGCTCCTTCTCTCTTCTCCTTCCCCTCCCATCCTCTTCCCTCCTTTATCCTCCCCCTCCTTCCCTCCTCTCCCTCCTTCTTTTTCTCTCCCTCCTCCTCTGCCTCCTCTATTCTCCCTCCTCCTGTCTCTCACCCTCCACCCCTTCTTCCCCACCTTCCCCTCTTCCCTCCTCCCTACCTCTCCTTCTCCCCCTTCTCCTCTTCCTTCTCCCTTCCTTCTTCTCCTTCTCCACTCTTCCTCCCCCCCTGCGTCCGTACTTCCTTCCTTCTCCTTCTCTCGCCCTCCCTCTCCATCCACCCCCTCCTCCCCCTTCTTTTCCCCACTCTCCCTCCTCCTTTCCCCTCCCCCTCCTCTTCTCCTCCTCCCACTCCTCCCCTTCCCCCTCTCCTCCCTTCCTCCCTCCTCCCGTCTTGCCTCTCCCCTTCTCTCCTCCCCACTCTCCCCTTCCCTCCTTATAATGCAGCCGGAGGCAGTGAGTATAACGGCAGTAGTGTGGGTGTGCCAGGGGGCCCAGCCAGAGGCTGGCAGGCCACAGAGGGACTCTGATCGGCCTCATGGGCGATGACACTGATTAGGACCTGACCCTCAGCATCCAACTCCCCCTCTGATGTCCTGGAGTGGATCCCGGAGTTCAGCCTCTGCTCTCAGAGGGTGGGTGAAGACTTTGAGACGGTAGACAGAACCTCCAGATCCCATGGTAGGACCTCTGCACCCTTCCCTAAGAATGGAGGAGGACACTGTGCTGAGAATTCATTCATTCACGACTGGTATTTATGGAGTACCTATTGTGTGCACTGGGTGCTGGGATCCAACAGGGAACCGACCAAGGGAGAATTCCACACTCCCCACCGAGACAGGAGAAGATGCTGAATGACACCATTACACATAGAAAAGTAAATGAGCCAGATGCGGTGACTCACACCTGTAATCCCAAGCACTTTGGGAGGCTGAGGTGGGCAGATCACCTGAGGTTAGGAGTTCGAGACCACCTGGCCAACATGGTGAAACCCCATCTCTACCAAAAATACAAAAATTAGCTGGGCGTGGTGGTGCACACCTGTAATCCCAGCTCCTTGAACTGAGGCAGGAGAATCGCTGGAACCGGGAGGCAGAGCTCCACAGTGAGCCGAGATCGCCCGGTGCACTCCAGCCTGGGCAACAGAGTGAGACTGTCTCAAAAAGAAAAAGGAAAAAAAAGGGTGAAGTCCCAGTTTCAGGGAACAGGCTCAGCAGAGGCAGAAGTACTGAGAGCCGGCCTACCCCATCTCATTTCCTTATCCCACCCCTCAGTCCAGTCTGCACCTCCCAGTCTCGCCACCACCTCCTCCCGATGATTGCTTTATGGTTGGGCGGGTCGAGTCACCGCGGACCCTCTCACCTGGAAAGGAAGGCCGGGAGGCCCCACTGGCTGTGGGAGGCAGTCAGCTGCATCCTTCACGGTGTTGGCGGAGGAGAAACAGGGCAGAGACGGGGGTGTCTCCTCTACTTCATCCTATGGGAGTTGGTTGGCCTGCGGGGTTGAGGAGGATCACACATCTCCAGGCCCTGGAAACTGAATTATCCCTTCATGCTTCCTATCTAGTCCACAAAGATCCAAGGTGTGGGCAGGATTCATTCCTTCTCTGTTTTTGAGACGGAGTTTTTGCTCTTGTCGCTCAGGCTGGCTGGAGTGCAGTGGCACGATCTCGGCTCACTGCAACCGCCACCTCCTGAGAAGCGGAGATTCTCCTGCCTCCAGCCTCCCACGTAGCTGGGACTACAGGAGTGCCCGCCACACACCAGGTAACTTTTTTTGTATTTTTAGTAAAGATCGGGTTTCACCATGTTGGTCAGGCTGGGTCTTGAACTCCCCTTCGTGATCACCGCCCGCCTCGGCCTCCCAAAGTGCTGGGATTACAGGCGTGAGCCACAGAGCCTGGCAGTGAACACTGTTTTTAATATACTCCCTTCTCCAAATGACAAAAGTTTCAGTGATGATTATAAATGTAACCACAAATAGTAGTATGGCAAGAAAAGAAATAGAGTAAAGTTTTATTTTATTGGAACTGACTGTGTATATAAGCATCATGCCAATACAAATAAAGTATTGACCACGCTTCAGTGGCTCACGCCTGTAATCCCAGCACTTTGGGAGGCCGGGGGGCGGGCGTCACAGGTCAGGAGATGGAAGCCATCCTGGCTAACACAGTGAAACACCGTCTCTACTTAAAATACAAAAAATCAGCCGGGCATGGTAGCAGGTGCCTGTGGTCCTAGCTGCTCGGGAGGCTGAGCCAGGAGAATGGCGTGAGCCTGGGAGGCGGAGCTTGCAGTGAGCCGAGATCGCGCCACTGTACTCCGGCCTGGGTGACAGAGCGAGACTCCGTCTCAAAAAAAAAAAAAAAAAAAAAAAAGTATTGCAGGTCAGGCACAGCGGCTCATGCCTGTAATCCCAGCCCAGGGAGGCCGAGGCAGGTGATCACCTGAGGTTGGGAGATAAAGAGATAGCCTGACCAACATGGAGCCACGTCTCTACTAAAAATACAAAATTAGCTGGGTGTGGTGGTAAAGCCTGTAATCCCAGCCTCGAGAGCTGAGGCAGGAGAATCACTTGAACCGGGAGGCAGAGTTTACGGTGAGCTGGAATTGTGCCACTGTGCCCCAGCCTGGGCAACAAGTGAAATTCCATCTGGAAAACAAAAACAAAACAAAACAAATATTACAATTTACCAGAGGAAAAGAAAGTAATGATAGAAGACATTTCAGTCCACTAATAAATATTTTTATGATTTTTTCTGTGTGTGCCTGTATGTGTGTGAGTCGGAGTCTCGCTCTGTCGCCCAGGTTGGAGTGCAGTGACCTGTTGATCTCAGCTCACTCCTCCACAGCTCCACGCTGCCCCTCTGCCTCAGCTCCCAAGTGCTGGGACCACGAGCACACCCTACGCCCAGCTAGTTTGCATTTTTAGTAGAGATGGGGTTTCACCATGTTCCTTGATGGTCTCAATCTCCTGACATCCTCCGCTTGGCTCCCAAAGTACTGGTTACAGCGTGGCTATTATTACCCACCCAGGCTCTTTTAAGCCTTCCTGTTATATAAAAGGAACTCTCCATTGGGTACTCTATTTTGTTAATGATTGATTGGGTGATTGAATTTGAGATGGAGTCTTGCTCTGTTGCTCAGGATGGAGTGCAGTGGCACAATCATCTGCAACCTCCACCTCTCAGATTCAAGCAATTCCCCTGACAAAGCCTCCTGAGTAACTGGGATTACAGGTGCCTCCCATATCAAGTCCAGCTAATTTTTGTATTTTTAGTAGAGACAAGGTTTCACCATGTTGGCCAAGCTGGTCTCGAACTCCTGACCTCAAGTGATTCACCTGCCTTAGCCTCCCAAAGTGCTGGAATTACAGATTGTGAGCCACTGCCACACATTGAGTACTTTAACCGTATTTGCTAATTTGTCTCTCCTTTTTTTTTTAATGGAGTCTCGCTCTGTTGCCCAGGCTGGGTGCAGTGAAAAATTTGATCTCAGCTCACTGCAAGCTCTGCCTCCCGGGTTCACACCATTCTCCTCAGCCTCCTAGTAGCTGGGACTACAGTGCCTGCCATCATCTCCCAGCTAATTTGTTTTGTGCTTTTAATGGGAGACAGAAGTTTTCACCATACCTATTATAGAATGTCTCAATCCTGACCTGCGTGATCTGCTGCTCGCCTCCCAAAGTGCTTTCCGGATTACAGGCATGGGCCACTCACTTGACTTGTTTGGTTTTGTTTTTTTTTTTTTGGAGATGATGCCTGGCTCTGTCTCCCAGGCTGGAGTGCAGCGGGCGTGATCTCACGGCTCACTGCAACCTCCGCCTCCGGGTTCAAGCCTAAACTGTGTGTATGTTTGGCACATTGTGTGTGTCAGCCCCAAGCCCTTGGCTCTTCAGAAAAAAAAAGTTTGCCCAGCCCCTGTGTGTTGGTACCCCCTCCACTCCAAGCCGAGATCGTACCCATTGCACTCCAGCCTGGGCGACAAATCTGTCTCAAAAAAAAAAAAAAAAAAAAAAAAATTATTTCATGGTAGTATTCTGAAAATGATGCTGACATTCAGATTTCAGTGTCTAAAAATACTAAGAGTGTATTAGGACACAGCCATGCTGACACAGGTGTCTAAGACTCTTGCAAGCTGCACAAGAGCAGATTTCCCAGGAGTTGCAACAGGGCAGTTTAAGCTGGGTGGTTGTGTGTACATCAATACATGTCTGTGTTTTTGTTTTGTTGTTGTTGTTGTTGTTTTGAGATAGAGTCTTGCTCTCTCCTTTGAAGGAGGCTGGAGTCAGGCACCTACAATCTACGCACATCTGCCCTCCCACCTCCTGGGTTCAAGTGATTCTCCTGCCTCAGCCTTCCTGAGTAGCTGGGAGTTGAGCCCCACGTCATGCTTACCAATGGCCCAGAAATTTTTTGTATTTTTAGCGAGACTGGAGTTTAGCCATGTTTGCCCAGGCTGTTACTTTTTTTTTTTTTTTTTTTTTTGAGACATGGGGAATGCTCACCGCTGCGCGAGCCAGCCTCTGCAGTGGTCTCTGCCTGCAGCTCCGCCTCCCAGTTCACTTATTCACCTGCCTCAACTCCCAAGTAATTTAGCTGGGACTACAGGCGCCATAAGCCAAACCACGGCTAGTTTTTTTGCACTTTTTAGTAGAGACAGGTTTCACCACCATTGTTATGGAGATGGTACCAGTCTCTGGAAAGCCTCGTGATCCGCCGTCTCGCTCCCCCAAGTGCTGGGATTGCAAGGCTTGAGCCTCCGCGCGCCCAGCCTACACATGGCTCTTTGCAGGGGAAAATGTTTGCCAGCCTGTGCTAATTTGGCACCCCTCTCCTCCAAGTCCCCAACTCTGGAAAAGTAGACAGAGCTTTCAAGTTCAAGGCAAGAGACCACCTGCCTGACCCCACCACCTTTTCACAGGCGGTCCTGCTTGGGGGATACCAGGAAGAGGTGGGGATGCGAGGATGGACCAGCGTCCCAGCTCGGCTCTAGAGGATCTTAAGAGATACTGACATTCTCTACTGCGGCGGAACTTTACAACCTCCCCAGTCAACCTTTCTCTGCTATGGGAAAGCTTGGCTTTCCTTTTTTTGCTGAGATGAAATGCTCGATCTACTCGTAGGCTGGAGTGCAGTGGCCGGATCTCAGCTCACCTGTAGCTACTTACTCAATTCCACGCCATGCTCCTGCCTCAGTCACCGAGTAGCTGGGACTACAGGCGCCCGCCACCTCGCCCGGCTAGTTTTTGTATTTTTAGAAGAGGCGGGTTTCACCAGGTTGGATCGGGATGGTCTCCATCTCCCGAAGCCTCGTGATCCGCCTGTCTCGGCCTCTAAAGTGCTGGGAATACAGGCTTGAGGAACCGCGCCGGCCTGGTGTCAAACTCTTGACCTCTCAGGTGATCCTGCCACCTCGCGGTTTCCCAGAATGCTGGGTTACAGGCGTGAGCCACCACGCCCGGCTGGAATTAAATATTTTGATGTTTAACTTACGAGTGTCAAAGATACTAGCAAATTTGAACAACAGTGTGGATTTCAAGCCCTTTCATAAATATGCGATAACACTGCTTTCAGATGGGGAGTTTTTGCTCTTGTTGCCCAGGCTGGAGTGCAGTGGCGCGATCTCAGCTCACTGAAACCTCCGCCTCCCGGGACGATTCTTCTGCCTCAGCCTCTTGAGTAACTGGGACTACAGGTGCCCACCACCACACCCAGCTAATTTTTTTGTGTATTTTTTTTAGCAGAGACGGGTTTCACCATGTTGGCCAGGCTGGTCTCCAGCTTCTGACACAAGCACTACCCCAGCCTTTGTTTTTTTTTTTTTTGACAGCATCATTCTGCTGCCCAGGCTGGGAACCATGCGGTGGCGATCTCGAAGCTCACCACAACTGCCTGCAACTCCAAGCAATTCTCCTGCCTCAGCCTCCCAATTGCCTGGGACTAGGCGTGAGCCACCGCCGTCCAGATAATTTTCTGTACTTATTTTTAAGCCCAGAGATGGGGTTTCACCATGTTGGCCAGGCTGAAGGCTATGGAACTCCCGACCTCGGAAGTGATCTGCCCACTTTCAGGAGACACAGCTGAACCTGAGCTCCTCCTTTCTCCCAACACTGTACCTCCTGCCATTCCTTTTTTTTTTTTTTTTTCAGACAAAGTCTCACTCTGTCATGCAAGCTGGAGTGCAGTAGTATGTCGCTCACTGCAACCTCCACCTCCTGGGTCTGAGCAATTCTCCTGCCTCAGCCTCCTGAGTAACTGGGATTACAAGCATGTGCCACCATGCCCATGTATTTTTTTTTTTTTTTTTTTTTTTTTGAGACAGAGTCTCGCTCTGTCGCCCAGGCTGGAGTCACGGTGGCCATCTCGTGCAGCAGGCGCTCCGCCTCCCAGGTCACACCATTTCCTGCCTCAGCCTCCTGAGTAGCTGGGACCAAGGGCCCGCCACACGGGGCCCCAATTTTTTTTTGTATTTTTAGTAGAGACGGGGTTTCACTGTGGTAGCCAGGATGGTCTTTTTTTTTTTTTTTTTTTTCTTGAGACGGAGTCTCGCTCTGTCGCCAGGCTGGAGTGCAGTGGCCGGATCTCAGCTCACTGCAAGCTCCACCTCCCGGGTTGCTGCATTCTCCTGCCTCAGCCTCCCGAGTAGCTGGGACTACAGGCGCCCGCCACCGCGGCTAGTTTTTGTATTGTTTAGTAGAGGCAGGGGTTTCACCGTGTTAGCCAGGATGGTCTCGATCTCCTGACCTCGTGATCTGCCCGTCTCGGCCTCCCAAAGTGCTGGGATGACAGGCTTGAGCCACCTGCCAGGCCCAGGATGGTCTTGATCTCTGACCTGTGATCCGTCCAGCTCTGTCTCTCAAAGTGTTGGGATTACAGGCGTGAAACCACTGCGCCTGGTCTGACGTCCCCATTTTGCAAACAGAAGCACCATCCTTCCAGAGGGTCGGGTCAAATTTCTCATTATCCCACACCGTGGCGTTTTCTCTCATACCTGCAAAACTCTACACCAGGAAAGTCTTGTTGGCTCCATGTTCAAAATGCAACCTGGTGCAGCCTCACCTCACCTTAGCAGGCCTGAACCAGCCCATTCTCCTCCAACCTGTTCCTCAGCTCCCACTCTCGCCCTGTAGGCAGTCTTCCCACAGCAGACAGCAGAGGGCGCCCAGGAGCACCAGAGTCAGGGCCTGTCCTCCTCACCACAGGCTCCCTCTATGGCTCCCACCTCCTTGGAGGTCAAAGCCCAAGTCGTCCCTGTGGTCCACAATGCGCTAATGACCTGCCTGTCCTCTACCCCTACCCCACCCTCCCCCCATCTTGCCCTCCTTCCTTCTCTCCCCCTTGCTCACTCTGCTGCACTATGCTACACAGGCCTCTTACTGTTCCTTCAACACCGGCGTGGTCCAGCCTCAGGGCACGCTGGGCTAGGCTGTGCCCTCTTTCCCCGATATCTGTGGGGTACACTCTCACTCTCTTATTATCTTTTTCATTTGAGGACCTACCCCAACAGCCTTCCTTAAAACTTTGCAACCTTGGGCCGGGCGCGGTGTCCAGAAGCCTGTAATCCCAGCCTTCTGCCATGCTTGCTTTGGGAGGCCGAGACGGGGCAGGATCTGGTCAGGAGATCGGAACCATCCTGGCTAACCGGTGGCCCACGTCCTCTACTAAAATACAAAAATTAGCAGGCGAGGTGGCGGGCGCCTGTAATCCCAGCCTCAGAGGCTGAGGGCAGAGGAGAATGTCGTAAACCCGGGAGGCGGGCTTGCAGTGAGCGTCCTCCGGCCACTGCCACTCGGCCCTGGGCGGCACAGCCGAGACTCCATCTCTTTTTTTTTTTTTTTTTGAGACAGAGTCTCGCTCTGTCGCCCAGGCTGGAGAGTGGAGTGCAGTGGCCGGATCTCAGCTCACTGCAATCACACTCGGGTTTCGCCATTCTCCTGCCTCAGCCTCCCGAGTGCCCAGGGACTACAGGCGCCCGCCACTTCGCCCGGCTATTTTTACTTATTTTTAGTAGAGAAGAGGCAGGAGTTTCACTGTGTTAGCCAGGATGGTCGTCTCCTGACCTTGTGATCACTTTTTGTATTTTTTAGTAGAGACGGGGTTTCACTGTGTTAGCCAGGATGGTCTCGATCTCCTGACCTTGTGATCCGCCCGTCTCGGCCTCCCAAAGTGCTGGGATTACAGGCTTGAGCCACCGCGCCCGGCCGAGACTCCATCTCAAAAAAAAAAAAAAAAAAAACCTGCCACCTTGGCCAGGCACAGTGGCTTACGCCTCCCATCCCAGCACTTTAGGAGGCTGAGGTGGGCAGATCGCTTGAGCTCATGAGTCAAGCATTGGCAGCCTTGGCAACATTGTGAAACCCTGTCTCTACTAAATATACAAAAATTAGCCGGGCGTGGTGGTGCACACCAGTGGTCCCAGCTGCTCAGGAGGCTGAGGCAGGAGAATCATTTGAGCCCAGGAGGTGGAGGTTGCAATGAGCCGAGATCAAGCCACTACACTCCAGCCTGGGTGACAGAGTAAGACTGTCTCAAAAAAACAAAACAAAAGCAAAAACTCCAACCTTTCCTCAACTCTCTGCTTCCACAGTTCTATCCCCTTCCTCCCCACTTTTTTTTTTTTTTTTCTTGAGACGGAGTTTCATTCTTGTCACCTAGGCTGGAGTCCAGCAGCGTGATCTTGGCTCACTGCAACCTCCGCCTCCCGGGTTCAAGCAATTTTCCTGCCTCAGCCTCCCGAGTAGCTGGGATTACAGGTGCCCGCCCCCACACCCGGCTAATTTTTGTAATTTTTAGTAGAGACTGGGTTTTGCCACGTTGGGCAGGCTGGTCTCGAACTCCTGACTCAGGTGATCCGCCTGCCTCGGCCTCCCAAAGTGTTGGGATTACAGGCGTGAGCCACTGCGCCCAGCCTGTATTTTTAATTTTTAGACAAGGTTTCACCATGTCGCCTTGGCTAGTCTGGAACTCCTGGACTCGAGTGATCCTCCCGCCTCAGCCTCCCAAAGTGCTGGGATTACAGGCATTAGCCACTGCACCCAAGCTCCTTCCCCACTTTATTAATCTCTGTGGCTCTTCCTGGCATCTTATTTGTGGCCTATTTCTCCCCCAGATTGTAAACTCCGTGAGGGCAGGGGTTTTGCTCATCCAATGCTTGGCACTTAGTAGGGTTTCTATAAAAATGTGTCAAATCAATGAACGTTAAGAGAAGTGACTCACAGTAGTTTCATAATAAAGAACATGGCCGGCCAGGGGCGGTGGCTCATATCTGTAATCCCAGCACTTTGGGAGGCCAAGGCGGTGGGATCACGAGGTCAGGAGATTAAGACCATCCTGGCTAACACAGTGAAACCCCGTCTCTACTAAAAATACAAAAAAAAAAAAAAATTAGCCGGGCGCGGTGGCAGGTGCCTATAGTCCCAGCTACCTGGGAGACTGAGTCAGGAGAATGGCGTGAACCCAGGAGGCAGAGCTTGCGGTGAGCTGAGATCGCGCCACTGCACTCCAGCCTGGGCGACACAGCGAGACTCCGTCTCAGAAAACAAAACAAAACAAAAAGGAACATGGCCCAAAGCAAAACAAAACAAGACACACATACATGACCATGTTTCATGTCTCAAATGCCTCCCAGTGTAATCACACCCTGTATTGCGGTGGGCAAATTAAAACCCACAGCTCACTGCCTGAGTTAAAAACTGAATTTATGGCCGGGACATGGTGGCTCACGCCTGTAATCCCAGCACTTTGAGGGGCTGAGGTGAGAAAATTGCTTGAGCACAGGAGTTCAAGACCAGCCTAGGCAACATAGCGAGTCCCCGTCTCTACAAAAAAATTTTAAATTAGCTGGGCATGGTGGGAGGTGCCTTTAGTCCAGGCTTCTCAGGAGTTTGAGGTGGCAGGATCACTGGAGCCAAGGAGTTTGAGGCTGCAGTGAGCTATAACTGTGCCACTGCACTCCAGCCTGGGTGCCAGGTGAGATCCTGTCTCTAAACAAAATTGTTTTAAATTATTTTATTGCCAGCATAATAGGTCACACCTATAATCTCAGCACTTTAGGAGGCCAAGGTGGGAAGAGAGCTTGAGCCCAGGAGTTTGAGATCAGCCTGGGAAACAAAGTGAAACCTGTCTCTACAAGAAATTTAAAAATTAGCTGGGCATGGTGGCACGTGCCTGTGGTCTCAGCTACTTGGGTGGCTAAGGTGAGAGGATCACTTAAGCCCGGGAATGAGAGACCATGGTGAGCTATGATCGTGCCACTGCCCTCCAATCTGGGTGACAGAGAGACACCCTGTCTTTCTAAAACAAGAAAAGTGGAAACTGAGGCCCAGAGAGTTGAAATGCGTTTCTGAAGACCCTATGTTTCTGAGAGACTTCCTATTTACCAAATTCTCCAAACAGGACCTCAAATGCTTCACAGGAAGTACAGAGATCACATTTACGAAGAAACAGTTCCATAAATTGCATGTCAGAGAGAGCACTGCACACACCCATTTGATCTTGCTAAGCCTGGGAAATTTTTAATTGCCCCTGTTTAAAAAAAAAAAAAAAAGTCATTGCACTTTCTAGAACCTTGGGTTTGGAACTTTGATCAGAGCGATTTCAACACATTGTGAAAACCTCATTTTAACTTTATCTTTCTTACAGGCATCTCACTTCAATCAGAACTTGGTAAGGCCAGGCATGGTGGCTCATGCTTATAATCCTAGCAATTTGGGAGGTGGAGGTGGGTGGATCACCTGAGGTCAGGAGTTCGAGACCAGCCTGGCCAACATGGCGAAACCCAGTATCTACTAAAAATACAAAAATTAGCCGGGTATGGTGGCACATGCCTGTAATCCCAGCTACTCGGGAAGCTGAGGCAGGAGAGTCGCTTGAACCTGAGAGGCAGAGATTGCAATGAGCCGAGATCATGCCACTGCACTCCAGCCTGGGCAACAGAGTGAGACTCTATCTCAAAATATAATAATAATAAAAATAAATAAATAAATCATGGGAAAGCGAAAAATAAATTTTATGTGTTCTCTTTCCCTCCCGCAATTAAACGCCTTTCATTTTCCCATGTTCCCTCGCAGTTCCCGTTCGTCTGCGCAAATCCTTGATTGCAGAGCGATAAAATAATTATGAGCATCCATCGGCCGGGATGTGGCACAAAGTCATAAAGCAATTCCAGGCCGGGCACAGTGGCTCACTCCTGTAATCCCAGCACTTTGGGAGGCCGAGGCAGGTGGATCACAAGGTCAAGAGATCAAGACCATCCTGACCAACATGGTGAAACCCTGTCTCTACTAAAAATACAAAAAATTAACTGGGCGTGGTGGCACGTGCCTGTAGTCCCAGCTACTCGGGAGGCTGAGGCAGGAGAATCGCTTGAACCCAGGAGGTGAAGGTTGCAGTGAGCTGAGATTTCGCCACTGTACTCCAGCCTGGTGACAGAGCGAGACTCCATCTCAAAAAAAAAAAGAAAAGAAAAGAAAAGAAGAAAAGAAAAGAAACTCTAGAAACCAGCTGGGTGTGGTGACTCATGCCTGTCATCCCAGCACTTTGGGAGGCCAAGGTGGGCAGATCACATGAGGTCAGGAGTTCGAGACCAGCCTGGTCAACGTGGTGAAACCCCATCTCTACTAAAAAAACTACAAAAATTAGCTGGGTGTGGTGGCAGGTTCCTGTAGTCCCAGCTACTCGGGAGGCTGAGGCAGGGAGAGTCGCTGGAACCAGGGAGGCAGAAGTTGCAGTGAGCTAAGATAGCACCACTGCACTCCAGCCTGGGTGACAGAGCGAGACTCCGTCTCAAAAAAAAAAAAAAGAAAAAAGAAAAACAAGGCCAGGCGCGGTGGCTCACACCTGTAACCCCAGCACTTTGGGAGGCCAAGGCGGGCGGATCACCTGAGGTCAGGAGTTCAAGAAGAGCCTGGCCAATATGGTGAAACCCCATCTGTACTAAAAATACAAAAATTAGCCGGGTGTGGTGGCAGGTGCCTGTAATTCCAGCTACTCAGGAGTCTGAGGCAGGATAATTGCTTGAACCTGGGAGGTGGAGGTTGTACTGAGCCGAGATCACGCCACTGCACTCCAGCCTGGGCAACAGCGAAACTCTGTCTAAAAAAAAAAAAAAAAAAAAAAAAGAACTTCACTTGCTCATCAAAAATGTGGATGACTTCTGTGATGAATCACATAATCGTTTCTGAATACTGGAAAATATTTCCCTATTCTTTCTTTATTTTTTTTAAGACAGAGTTTTGCTCTTGTTGCCCAGGTTGGAGGGCAGTGGTGCAATCTCCGCTCACTGTAACCTCCGCCTCCCAGATTCAAACCATTCTCCCGCCTCAGCCTCCTGAGTAGCTGGGATTACAGGTGCCCAACACCACTCTCAGCTAATTTTTCTATTTTTAGTAGAGACAGGGTTTTATCATGTTGACCAGGCTGGTCTCAAACTCCTGACCTCAAATGATCCTTCCGCCTTGACCTCCCAAAGTGCTGAGATTACAGGGGTGGGCCAATGCTCCTCGCCGAATTTTTGTTTGTTTGTTTGTTTGAGACAGAGTCTTGGTCTGTCCCAGGCTGGGGTGCAGTGGTGCAATCTCGGCTCAATGCAACCTCTGCCTCTCGGTTTCAAGTGACTCTCCTGCCTCAGCTTTCCGAGTAGCTGGGATTACAGGCACCCGCCACCACACCCAGCTAATTTTTGTAGTTTTTTAGTAGAGACGGGGTTTCACCACGTTGACCAGGCTGGTCTCAAACTCCTGACCTTGTGATCCGCCTGCCTCAGCCTCCCAAAGTGCCGAGATTACAGACGTGAGCCACCGCGCCTGGACTAATTTTTAATCATAGCTATTAACTACCAGTTCCCAAATTTCCCAAAACTTGAACAAATAGGCTCTTACCCACCAGAAGGAGCTGGCTTCGGCACAGCACTGCTAAGCTTCTCTCAGAGCATCCTGTTTTTCTCCTTGAACGCTGCGCCCCAGGATGTTAAGTTAATCAGCTGCAGCTCTGCAAGAAAGCTCAGATTGGTTTCTGGAGTTCTACCCTGGGAGCTCAGCCACAGGCTAAGAGTGAGAGGTTTCATCAGGAACTCACTGGAATAGGATGAGAACATCCTGTGATCCAAGGGAACAGGCTTCGAGCCAGGTGTGTTTGCCCCAAACCCTTGCAGGTTGCACACTGCCACCGTGCCACGAGGTTCCCAAAGCAGCCACGTTCACTTGCTCACATCTGTGCTCACCAAACACCTCCCATGTGTCAGGCTTTGTGCTGGCAGCCAGGGACGCCAAGATGGATCAGTTCCCGGCATTCCAGGAACTCACAGACTTCACGAAATTCAATTAATCATGTGTTCATATCCCTAAACATTATAAGGCGCAGTTTTCCTTTTCTATAATCTATAATTTCTATATAATCTTTCTTTTTTTTTTTTTTTTTTGAGATGGAGTTTTGCTCTGTTGCCTAGGCTGGAGTGCAGTGGCGTGATCTTGGCTCACTGCAACCTCCGCCTCCTGAGTTCAACCGATTCTCCTACCTCAGCCTCCCGAGTAGCTGAGACTACAGGCTCCCGCCACCTTACCTGGCTAATTTTTTTGTATTTTTGGTAGAGACAGGGTTTCACCGTGTTCGCCAGGATGGTCTCGATCTCCTGACCTCGTGATCTGCCTGCCTCAGCCTCCCAAAGTGCTGGAATTACAGGCATGAGCCACCGCACCTGGCCCCAATCTTTTTAAAATTGTGGTAAATACATGTATATCATAAAATGTACCATCTTAATCTTTTTGTTGATTTTTTTTTTTCTTTTTGAGATCGGGTTTTGCTCTCCTGCTCAGGCTGGAGTACAGTGGTGTCATTATAGCTCTCTGCAACCTTAACCTCCCAGGCTTAAGTGATCCTCCTGCCTCAACCTCCTGAGTAGCTAGAACGACAGGCGTGCACCAACACACCCCGAGCTAATTTTTTTTTTTTTTCTATAGATGAGTTTTGTTTTTTTCTTTTTGAGACAGAGTCTCACTCTATCACCCAGGCTGGAGTGCAGTGGTGCAATCTTGGCTCACTGCAAACTCCGCCTCCTGGGTTCACGCTACTCTCCTGCCTCAGCCTCCCAAGTAGCTGGGACTAGAGGCACCCGCCACCACCCTCGCAAATTTTTGTATTTTTAGTAGAGACAGGGTTTCAATGTGTTAGCCAGGATGGTCTCAATTTCCTGACCTCATGATCCGCCCACCTTGGCCTCCCAAAGTGCTGGGATTATAGGTGTGAGCCACCGCACCCAGCCTCTTTTGCCTTTTGAGACAGGATCTTGCTCTGTCACCCAGGCTGGACTGCAGTGGCTCAATCATAGCTCACTGCAGCCTTGAATTCCTGGGCCTAAGTGATCCTCCCACCTCAGCCTCCCAAGTAGCTGGGACTACAGTTGTGCACCCAGCTTTTTTTTTTTTTTCCGTAGAGACAAGGATCTCACTATGTTGCCAAGGCTGGTCTGGAACTCCTGGCTTCAAGCCATCCTCCCACCTCAGCCTCCCATAGTGTTGGGATTATAGGCAGAACTACTATACCTGGTCAGTGTTTTTATTTTAGCCATTCTAATAGGCGTATGGAAGTATCTCATTGTGGTTTTAATTTGCATTTGTCTAATAGCTAATAACACTGAGCCATTTTCATTTTATAAAAATGGTGTCATAAGGCCAGGTACGGTGGCTCATACCTGTAATCCCAGCCCTTTTGAAGGCCAAGGTGGGCAGATCACTTGAGGCCAGGAGTTCAAGACCAGTCTAGCCAACATGGTGAAACCCCATCTCTACTAAAAATACAAAAATATTAGCTGGGTGTGGTGGCACATGCCTGTAATCCCAGCTACTCGGGAGGCTGAGGCATGAGAATCGCTTGAACCCAGGAGGCGGAGGTTGCAGTGAGCTGAGGTTGCGCCACTGCCCTCCAGCCTGGGTAAAAGAGCAAGACTCCATCTCAATAAATAAATAAATAAATAAATAAATAAATAAATAAAAATAAAAGGGCTGGGCGCGGTGGCTCACGCCTGTAATCCCAGCAGTTTGGGAGGCTGAGGTGGGCAGATCAGGAGGTCAGGAGATTGAGACCATCCTGGCTAATACGGTGAAACCCTGTCTCTACTAAAAATACAAAAAAAATTAGCCAGGCATGGTGGTGGGCACCTGTAGTCCCAGCTTCTCGGGAGGCTGAGGCAGGAGAATAGCGTGAACCTGGGAGGCAATGGAGCTTGCAGTGAGCGGAGATCGCACCACTGCACTCCAGCCTGGGAGACAGAGCGAGACTCCGTCTCAAAAAAAAAAAAGGAAAGAAAAGAAAGAAAGAAAAAGGCTGGGTGTGGTGGCTCACGCCTCTAATTCTAGCACTTTGGGAGGCCGAGGTGGGAGGATCACTATGTTGCCCAGGTCTGCCTGGAACCCTTGGGCTCAAATAATCCTCACGTCTCAGCCTTCCAAGTAGCTGAGACTAAGATTCTTTCATGCTGTTGTCACGTAGGAATTTTCTGCTGTCTCCTATTTCTCTGTGGGACTGCACTGGGATGTATTTTTCCATTCTCCCATCAATGGACCCTGTGTACTTTCCAAATTTTTGCCATTGAGAACATTATTGTGTGAGTTTCCTGTTTGCACACAGGCAGGAGTTTCTCTAAGTCATCTGCCCACGATTCCAACTACTGAGTCACAGTGTGGTCACGATAGGGTTAAATTGCTTTCCAAAGGGGTCTCTTCCGCTGTTCTGGCAGTTAATCCACTGCACAGGTGAGAGAGATAAAGTTCACAGGACATTGCTAGTTGGAAACAATGTACACTTGTGATATTAACGCCAGCATGTGCCTCTACAAGATAAATGTCACCATGGATTGAATCTATCAAGAAAACTATTAGAAATTTCTTTCCTGGGAGGAGCAATTTAGGAGATACCACGTCTCTGGGACCAAGGGACAGATGTACTCAGAAAAAGTGTTATTGGAAGCAACGATAAGTAGGAAATATATCACAGAGAGAGGTCACAGGGCAAAGGATGCTTGGTAGTAAAGATAGAGAATGGGTGGAGGGGGTGAGGTTGCACTGTAACCTCAGCAAGTAAAGCTCCTGTTTTATCATAAGTGCTGCGAATGGTTGCCTCAAGAACACCAGGTCATTCCTTCAAGTAGCCCATATGTCTCCAGCATCTGTTATGTCCGTGGAGGTAAAGCGGGAGAGAAGGAGATACATCCAACATCTTCTTTGGCCTCAAAAAATTCATAACAGACCCAGCACAGTGGCTCACGCCTGTAATACCAGCACTTTGGGAGGCCAAGGCAGGCAGATCATGAGGTCACGGGTTCGAGACCAGCCTGATGAAAATAGTGAAACCCCGTCTCTACAAAAAATACAGAAATCAGCCCGGTGTGGTGGCACTCGCCTGTAATCCCACCTACTCAGGAGGCTGAGGCAGGAGAATCGCTTGAACCCAGGAGGCGGAGGTTGCAGTGAGCCAAGATTACGCCACTGCACTCCAGCCCACGTGACAGAGCGAGACTCTGTCTCAAAAAAAAAAAAAAGTTTCTAACAGACTGGGCTTGGTGGCTCACACTTGTAATCCCAGCACTTTGGGAGGCCAAGGCAGGAGGATCACTTGAGCCCATGGGTTTGAGACCAGCCTAGGTAAGATGGTGAGACTCCCCCCGCCCATTTCTACAAAAAATAAAAAATTAGCTGGGCAAGGTGGTGTGCACCTGTCATCACAGTTACTCAGGTGGCTGAGGCGGGAGGAGGATCACCTGATCCCAGGAAGTAGAGGCTGCAGTGAGCAGTGATCACAGCACCGCACTCCAGCCTAGGTAACAGAGTGAGACTGTCTCCAAAAAAAGAAGAAGGATAATTCTTTTTTTTTTTTGAGATGGAGTCTTGCTCATTCGCCCAGGCTGGAGTGCAGTGATGTGATCTTGGCTCACCGCAAGCTCTGCCTCCCGGGTTCACGCCATTCTCCTTCCTCAGCCTCCCGAGTAGCTGGGACTACAGGCGCCCGCCACCACGCCTGGCTAATTTTTTTTTGTATTTTTAGTAGAGACAGGATTTCACCATGTTAGCCAGGATGGTCTTGATCTCCTGACCTCGTGATCCACCCACCTCGGCCTCCCGAAGTGCTGAGATTACAGGTGTGAGCCACAGTGCCCAGCCAAAAGGAGAATTCATTTACTGTTCTATGCCAAGGGCAATGCCCACAGTATATACAATGGGATATCATCTAGCAAGGAAACCGAACAAACTATCATTACGTGAAACAATATAAATGAACCTCAAAAATATTGTCTCAGCATCTGGTACAGTGACTCACGCCTGTAATCCCAGCACTTTGGGAGGCCAAGGTACTAGCGTCATTTGAGCCTAGGAGTTCGAGACCAGCATGGGCAACACGATGACAGCCCCATCTCTACAAAGAATACAAAAGTTAGTTGGGCATGGTGGTGCGTGCCTGTAGTCCTAGATACTCTGGAGGCTGAGGTGGGAGGATGGCTTGAGCCCAGAAAGTGGAGGCTGTAGTGAGCTGAGATCACACCACTACACTCCAGCCTGTGCAATAAAGCAAAATCTTGTCTAAACCAAAACCAAAAGATTGTCCTAAAGCACAAAGAGCTGACACCATGAGTGCAATTCCATTTACAGGAAGCTCTTAGACAGGGAAAAACGAATCTACGGGGATAGAACACAGAATCTAGGGGGTTTCTGGGGTGGTAGTGGACTGCAGCTGGCTTACAGCCACTCAAAAGCATCTTTGATACCATCATCAACTTCTTTTTTTTTTGAGACTGAGTTTCACTCTTGTTGCCCAGGCTGGAGTGCAGTGGTGCCCTCTCGGCTCACCACAACCTCCACCTCCCCGGTTCAAGCGATTCTCCTGCCTCAGCCTCCCTAGTAGCTGGGATTACAGGCATGCGCCACCACGCCCGGCTAGTTTTGTATTTTTAGTAGAGACGGGGTTTCTTCATGTTGGTCAGACTGCTCTCGAACTCCCGACCTCAGGTGGTCTGCCCGCCTTGGCCTCCCAAAGTGCAGAGATTACAGGCATAAGCCACCACGCTCAGGCCTTTTTTTTTTTTTTTTTTTTGAGACAGAGTCTCCCTCTGTCACTCAGGCTGGAATGCGGTGGCATGATCTTGACTCACTGCAACCTCCACCTCTCAGGTTCAGGTGATTCTCGTGTCTCAGCCTCCCAAGTAGCTGAGATTACAGGCACCCGCCACCATGCCCAGCTAATTTTTTTTTTTTTTTTTTTTAAGATGGAGCCTTACTCTGTTGCCCGGGCTGGAGTGCAGAGGCACAATCTTGGCTCACTGAAACCTCCACCTCCGGGGTTCAAGCAGTTCTCCTGCCTCAGCCTCCCAGGTAGCTGGGATTACAGGCGCCCGCCACCATGCCCAGCTAATTTCTGTGTGTTTTTAGTAGAAATGGGGTTTCACCATGCTGGTCAGGCTGGTCTCGAACTCTTGACCTCAGGTGATCTGCCCACCTCAGTTTCCCTAAGTGCTGGGATAACACCCGTGACCATCCTAATTTTTGTATTTTTGGTAGAGATGGGGTTTTACCATGTTGGCCAGGCTGGACTCGAACTCCTGACCACAAGTGATCTGCCCTCCTCAGCCTCCCAAAGTGCTGGGATTGCAGGTATAAGCCACCACGCCCGGTCTCTCCTTATTTTTTTTTTTTTTTTTTTTGAGACAGAGTCTCACTCTGTCACCCAGGCTGGAGTGCAGTGGCCGGATTTCAGCTCACTGCAAGCTCCGCCTCCTGGGTTTAGGCCATTCTTCTGCCTCAGCCTCCTGAGTAGCTGGGACTACGGGCGCCCGCCACCTCGCCCGGCTAGTTTTTTGTATTTTTTAGTAGAGACGGAGTTTCACCGTGTTGGCCAGGATGGTCTCGATCTCCTGACCTCGTGATCTGCCTGCCTCAGCCTCCCAAAGTGCTGGGATTACAGGCTTGAGCCACCGCGCCCGGCCGCCTCTCCTTATTTTAATGGCTCATTGTTAAACATTTACCAGCTCATTAAACATTTACCAGCTCACCACTGCTGGGTGCAGAGAATGAACTAAAAAGGAGTGAACAAACTTTCTGGAGTAAGGGCAAGCGTTACATGGATGTACAGAGTTGTAATAGTTCAAGAAATTGAACTTTGGAGAATTGTGCATTAATGGCTGAACACAGTGGCTCACAGCTCTAGTCCCAGCACTGCTGAGGCCGAGGCAGGAGGATCGCTTGAGCTTAGGAGTGTGAGACCAGACTGAGCGACATGGAGAAAACCCGTCTGGACAAAAAATACAAAAATTAGCTGGGCATAGTGGTGCATGTTTGTAGCCAGGGCTACTAGAGAGGCTGAGGTGGGAGAATCGCTTGAGCCAGGGAGGTGGAGGCTGCAGTGAGCTATGATTGTGCCACTGCACTCCAGCCTGGGGCCTGGGTGACAGAGTGAGAACTTGTCTTGAAAAAAAAAAAAAAAGCCAGCCTGGCGTGGTGGCTCACACCTGTAATCCTAACACTTTGGGAGGCTGAGGCAGGCAGATCACGAGGTCAGGAGATCAAGACCATCCTGGCTAACAAGGTGAAACCCTGTCTCTACTAAAATACAAAAAAAATTAGCCGGGCGTGGTGGCAGGCGCCTGTAATCCCAGCTGCTCAGGGGGCTAAAGCAGGAGAATGGCGTGAACCCGGGAGGCGAAGCTTGCAGTGAGCCGAGATTGCGCCACTGCAGTCCAGCCTGGGCAACAGAGTGAGACTCCGTCTCAAAAAAAAGCTTAAAATAGGATAAAATGGGAGAATGATTGCTGGGCAGAACAGAAGGAACATGGAAATACCCCGGTCTCTGAAAGGGCCTGTCCTTATTTGAGGCCAGATGAGCGTCCATCTGAATTTTGGACAAGCAGGTGGGAGTGAAGAGAAGTCAAACTGAAAGGCCCAGATTGTAAAAACCCAGGAGCAGGCTTCCCTAGCAGCAGTGTTCTGTTTGTTGTTTTGTTTTGCTTTGTTTTTTTCGAGACGGAGTCTTGGTCTGTCACCCAGGCTAGAGTGCAGTGGCGTGATCTTGGCTCACTGCAACCTCCACCTCCCGGGTTCAAGCAGTTCTCCTGCCTCAGCCTCCTGTGTAGCTGGAACTACAGCCCAATTTTTGTCTTTTTAGTACAGATGGGGTTTCACCATGTTGGCTGGGCTGGTCTCGAACTCCTGACCTCAAGTGATCAGCCTGCCTCAGGCTCCCAGGGTCCTGGGATTACAGGCGTGAGCCACCATGCCTGGCCAAAAATTAATTTTTTTTGGTTGTGTTTTGTTTTATTGGAGACAGAGTTTTACTTTGTTGCCCAGCCTGGAGTACAATGGCACAATCTCAACTCACTACAACCTCTGCCTCCCAGGTTCAAGCAGTTCTCCTGCCTCAACCTCCTTAGTAGCCGGGATTACAGGCACGCGCCACCACGCCCGGCTTATTTATTTATTTATTTATTTAGTAGAGAGGGGGTTTCACTGTATTGGCCAGGTTGGTATTGAACTCCTGACCTCAGGTGATCCACCTGCCTCGGCCCTCCAAAGCGCTGGGATTACAGGCGTGAGCCACTGTGCCCTTCCCAATTTTTTGTATTTTACTAGAGACAGGGTTTCGCTGTGTTGCCCAGGCTGGTCTTGAACTCGGCTCAGGCAATTTGCCCATCTCGGCCTCCCAAAGTGCTAGGATTACAGGCGTGAGCCACCATGCCTGGCCAAATTAAATAAATTTTTAATGGGTTACACCATCAGGTAAATAACATGACCTTTCTTATGAAGTGGTACGGTTATTGTATTAAACAGTAAGGTGGTGCTTCAAAAAGCTCAACATAGAATTACCATATAATCCAGCAATTCCTCTTCAGAACATATACCCAAAATAACTCAAGGCGAAGACTCAAACAGATATTTGCACATCTGTGTTCATAGCAGCACGATTCACCAAAGTATCTAGTGGCAGATAAATGGACGAGCAAAATATAGTCCATCCACACAACAGAATATTATTCAGTCTTTAAAAGGAGGAAAATTCTGGCCAGGTGCGGTGGCTCACACCTGTAATCCCAGCACTTTGGGAGACCGAGGCAGGTGGATCACGAGGTCAGGAGATTGAGACCATCCTGGTTAACACGGTGAAACCCCGTCTCTACTAAAAATACAAAAACTTAGCCGGGCGTGGTGGTGGGCATCTGTACTCCCAGCTACTCGGGAGGCTGAAGCAGGAGAATGGCGTGAACCCCGGGAGGCAGAGCTTGCAGTGAGCTGAGATCGCGTCACTGCACACCAGCCTGTGTGACACAGTGAGACTCCATCTCAAAAAAAAAAAAAAAGGAGGAAATTTTTCTTTTATTTTTTTTCCTTCAGCTCCTTTTTGGAGCAGGGCTACCCGACTGGAAATATGCCTAGACCAGTCATGTTGGGAAATTCTAACACAGGCTCCAACATGGATGCATCTTGAGGACATGGCTCTCAGTGAAATATGCCAGACACAAAGGGACAAAACCTGTGTGATCCTACCCATATGAGGTCCCTAGAATCATGAGATTCACAGGAAGTAGGATGGTAGGTTCCAGGGGCTGGGGAGGAGGATAGGGAGTGAGGTTTCACAGGGACAGCCTTTCAGTTTGGGAAAATGAGAAACTTCTGGACATGTTGGTGGTGGTCGCTTAATGCCTCTGAGCTGTGCATTTAGAAATGGTGAAAATGGCAAGTTTTATGTTATGTGCATTTTTTTTTTTTTTGAGATGGAGTCTCGCTCTGTCTCCCAGGCTGGAGTGCAGTGACCGGATCTCGGCTCACTGCAAGCTCCGCCTCCCGGGTTCACGCCATTCTCCTGCCTCAGCCTCCCGAGTAGCTGGGACTACAGGCACCCGCCACCGCGCCCGGCTCGTTTTTTGTCTTTTTTTAGTAGAGACAGGGATGGTCTTGATCTCCTGACCTCGTGATCCGCCCGTCTCGGCCTCCCAAAGTGCTGGGATTACAGGCTTAAGCCACCGCGCCCGGCCGTTATGTGCATTTTATAATAAAAATGTTTTAATATGCGCATAACAATACATGCAATTTTGTCAATTAAAATAAATTTTAAAAAATGTTTTAGAGTGGCCTTGCTCTGATGAAAGAGGGGGAGTAATTGACACTTTAAGGCGGTGGGAGCCGGGGCATGTGTCCACCCTTGCCAAAAAGATTAAATGGACTCTGGGTGGGTCTCGTCCACTGTTCTGGGGTCTTTTGGGTTGTCTCAGCCCCAGCCTGGGGCACCACAGGCTCTCAGGAGTCTGGCTCCCTGCCCACCTGTGCAAGACCATCAACCTCCGCCCTCACCCATCCGTCTCCTCACCCATCCGTCTCCTCACCCATCCGTCTCCTCACCCATCCGTCTCCTCACCTGCGCGCGCGCCTCGTGCCCCAGGCGCATGCGCACACGCACCGTGGGAAGGCAAGCGAGTGCGCACGCTCCGGGCACCGCCTCGCCTCGGTGTCCGCCCCTTTCCCCTCCGACAGGCGGCCTGGGCTTCTGCGCAGGAGCGCCGGCTGGGGGTAGGGTCCATCGCGGTTCCCGATCCTGTTATCGCGAGAGGCCGGTCCGCGATCTCGTGGCCGCCCCTCCCCTCCCCCGGCCTCTTGGACTCCGGCTGCGGCGTCAGCCTCTCGCGGGCCTCGGCAGAGGTGGCGGCTCGGTCGCCTCGGCCCCAGCGCCCTTCGGCTACCCTCGGCCCAGGCCCGCAGCGCCGCCCGCCCTCGGCCGCCCCGACGCCGGCCTAGGCCGCGGCCGCAGCCCCGGGCTCGCGTAGGCGCCGATCGCTCCCGGCCCGCCCCCTATGGGCCCCGGCTAGAGGTGCCGCCGCCGCCGCCGGCCCGCGGAGTCCCGATGCTGGCCCGGAGGAAGCCGGTGCTGCCGGCGCTCACCATCAACCCTACCATCGCCGAGGGCCCGTCCCCTACCAGCGAGGGCGCCTCCGAGTGAGTGGGCCGGGGTCGGCCGGAGGCTCGGGGTGCACGGTGCAGGGAGCCCTCGGGGAAGGACGGGGCGAGGGGTGCAGGGGGCAGGAGGGTCACGGGGGAGGATGGGGTGAGGGGTGCACGGGGCAGGAGGTTCTCGAGGGGAGGACAGGACGAGGGATGCAGGGGGCCTTCGAAGGAGGATGGGGCGAGAGGTTCAGGGGACTTTCGGGGGAGGACGGGGCAGGGGGCCCTTGGAGGACGGGGTGGAGGGTGCACAGGGCAGGGGGGTCTGGGCCGGTGATGGGACGAGGGTCTTTGAGCAGTGAGATTGGGCGAGGGGAGGTCCTTGTGGTGGAAAAGATGGGGTGTGGGATTCCTGAAAAGTGAAATTGGGATAAGGGGAGTCCCTGAGTAGTGAAGTTGGGGTGAAGGGTGTCTCTAAGAGGAGAGGATGGGGGCAAGGGTCCCTGAGCAGTGAGATTGAGTGAGGGGAGGTCCCTGCAGTGCGGAAGATGGGGTGTGGGGCTTTTGAAAAGTGAAGCTGGGGTGAGCGGAGTCCCTCAGTAGGAAAATCGGAGTGAGGGGTGTCCGTAAGGAGAGAACAGGATGAGCAGTGAGATCGGGGTGAGGGGTCTCTTTAAGAGGAGAGAACAGAGTATGGGGTCCCTGAGTAGTGAAATGAGGGTGAAGGGTTCCTAAGAGGAAAGGACAGAGTGAGGGTTGCCTTAGTCATGAGATGAGGGTCAGGGGAGCCCCTGAGTAGGGAAATCGGGGTGCAGGGCGTTCCCAAGAGGAGAGGATGGGGTGAGGGGAGGTTAGGCAGCCCCTGAGGAAGGAATTTGGGCAAGGGGGCTCCAGAGGGGAGAGGATGGGGTGAGGGGTCCCTGAGTGATGAGACTGAGATGGGGTAGGGTCCTTCAGTAATGAGATTGGGCCAAGGAGGTCCCTGTGGGGAAAGACAGGGCATGGAGGCTCTGAGTAGCAGAATGCTGGTGGATCTCTAAGTAGTGAAATGGGGTGTGTGGTCCCTGAATAGTGAAATCAGGGAGATGGGGGGGGTCCCTGAGTAATGAGATTGGAATGAGGGGAAATCCCTTTGGGGAAAAGATGGGGTTTGGAGTCCTTAAGTCATGAGATCAGGCCAAGGAGATGTCCTTGCAGAGAGAGGATGGGGTGCAGGGCCCCTGAGTTGTGAGATGGGGTGGAGGGGGTTCCTGAGAGGAGGGGATGTATGGGTGGGTACCTGTAGGGGGAAGGATAAGCGAGGGGTGTCCTGCGCAGTGAAATGATAGTGAAGCGAGTCCCTCGGGGGAGAGATGGGTGAGGGATTCCCTGTGGGGAAACATGGGGTGGGAGGGTCCCTGGGCAACGAGTTCACAGTGCAGCACCTGGGTGGGGAGGACAGGCTGAGAGGTCCTGGGGGGCGGGGAGCAGTCCTTCTGGGGAATGAGTCCCTGAGTAATGAGGTTGGGGTGGGATGAGGAGGGCACCTAGGGGGCTGAGGTGGGGCGGGGGGGTCCCTTACGGGAGAGAATGGGCTGAGGAGGTCCGTAGACAACCAGGAAAAAGAGAAGAGAGGATGGGGGGCTCCCAGAGGGGTCAGGATGGGGTAGGAGACCCTAGAGGGGTCAGGATAGAGCGGCTCTAGGGGGGATCAGAGTGGGAGTTCTGGGGTATCTGAGGACAAGGGGGGTCCTAGGGGAGTCAGGATGTGGGGGGGCTCTAGCGGGGTCAGGATGGGGGTTCTAGGGGTTCCGGATGGAGGGGTTTCTGTGGGGGTCATCTGGTGGGGTCAGGATGGGGGTTCTAGGGGGCTTATGTTGTGGGGGTTTGAGGAGGTCAGGTTAGGGGGTCCTAGGGGGGTCATGTTGGGGGGTTCTGGGGGTTCAGAGCAGGGGGTCCTGGGGGGTTATGTTGGGGCAACTCTGGGGGGTCCATGGCAGGGGGTCCTAGGGGAGTCATGTTGGGGGATTCTGGGGGGGTCAGGGCAGGGGGTCCTGTGGGGGTCATGTTGGGTTCTGGGGGTTCAGAGCAGGGGTCCTGGGGGTCATGTTGGGTTCTGGGGGTTCAGAGCAGGGGGTCCTCGGGGTCATGTTGGAGTTCTAGGGGTTTCAGAGCAGGGGATCCTGTAAGAGTCATGTTGGGTTCTGGGGTTCAGAGCAGGGGGTCTTAGAAGTCATGTTGGGAGCAGTTCTGGGAGTCAGAGCAGGAGGTACCGGGAGTCACATTGGGGATTCTGGGAGTCAGCAGGGGTCTGAGAAGTCATGTTGGGGGGATTCTGGGGGGGTCAGGGCAGGGGAGGTCTAGGGTCTCATGTTGGGTTCCTGGGGGATCAGGACAGGGAGTTCGGGGTCCAGGTTAGGCATCTCTGGGGCACATCTCCCTGCTTGTGGCGGTGCCTGGTGTGTGGAGTCCTGAAGCTGGAAGTGTGGTGAGGCAGGCTGGTGTGAGAATGAGGAGGCTCGGGGATCAGGGGACCCTGCTGGCCCCTGAAAGCGGAGGTGCAGATTCTGAAGCAGGTGGACTGGAAAACCCTCCTGAGGGGCTGACCCAGTGCAATGACTTTGAGGAGGTGGAGAGGGGAGACCAGAGGCCTGGGCGAAGGGTCTGAGAAAGGCATGCTGGGGTTGGGGGTCGCGTGCTGGCAAATTTGCACTGCTCAGGACGAGGGAGGGGACTGGGTGGTGGGACCACACACTGGTGGGAGTCGCCAGGGTGATCTCTGCACCCACGTTCTGCAGGGCATAGTAGGGCAGTGGGGCCGATCCCTGGGCCCTTGGCTGGGAATCCGGGTGCCGTGCCTGTGGTGTGACCGCTTGAGAGCAGTGTCAGGGACTGTGGCATGTCTGGTGGCCTCTCCGGCTCGGGGAGCGGCCTTCTGTGACCGGATGAAGAGAAGACTCTTGATGCCAATGTGTGCAAGTCAACGGGCACAGCCAGACACAGGGACCTGTTCCTCATTCTCCGCACGGAACTCGCCCTTCACATTCTCTTCCGTGTAGAGGTTTGATTTCCATCCCTTGAAGATTACCCCAGGAGAGGAAGCCGGCTATAGAGATGCAAGGTTTGGTTTGTTTAATAACCACAGTTGGGTTGCCAGCAAATTTAAGATGGATTAGTCAGCTGACTCCAGGATGCATTTCAATGTTTGAGCAGTACTTGAGATCTTCCAAGTGTGCCCATCAAAGTCATTCATGACCAGGTGCGGTGGCTCACGCCTGTAATCCCAGCTCTTTGGGAGGCCAAGGTGGTGGTTACTTGAGGCCTGGTGTTCAAGACCAGCCTGGCCAATATCGCCAAGAAAACCTAGTATCTATTAAAAATGCCAAAAAAATTAGCTGGGTGTGGTGGCGTACACCTGTAATCCCAGCTACTTGGGAAGCTGAGGCAAGAGAATCGCTTGGACCCAGGAGGCAGAGGTTGCAGCGAGCTGAGATCGCACCACTGCACCAACCTGGCGACAGAGACAAGGCTCTATCTCAAAAAAAAAGAAATATTCATTTATTCATTCATGTTATTCATTCATTCATGTCCCCCACCAACCTTCTGTCCCACTCCCAGGAGTCTCGCCATTCCTGCTGCTTCACGGGTCCTTATTCAGCAGCTGCTCGGTGAGCACCTACCAGGGCTCTGTTTCCCCTCTGGGGACACTGAGATGAGCAGGAGTTGTCCTGACCTGGGGCAGGTGTTGTGACCTGGGGCAGGTTCCTCCACCCCTGTGAGTCTGTTCCCTCCTGCCTGGGCCTCCGGGGACGATGGGGAAAATGGAATGAGATGGTGTGAATGGAATGAGATGGTGTTTGTCCAGCCCAGGAAGCAGTGCCCAGGCCCTGCCTTCATGAGACTCTTTGCAGCACCAGCTCCAGTACATCACACTCATTTCTGGCCTGTGTGTCCCATGGCTTATACCGCTGGCTGTAGGCAAATAGTGGTCAAACTTGAGTTGGAAGGTTCAAGATGGAAGGAGCCGTCACGCCTTCATTCCCTGCTTCTGTCCCTCTATGGCTGTCCACCATGACTTTAGCTCCTTCCGGAGTCAGGACCTCTAAGTGGCCTGCTCTTCAGAGGTTCCCAAAGCTGCACTGCTGGTTGAGTAGCCCCTGGCTACAGGCAAACACATAAAATGAGAATTGCCCAGAACCACAAGAGCATAAGTGGCAATAATGCAATAATGCCGTTGTAGATTTCAAAGGCTTAAGATGGAAACAATGTGAAACATTCATTCATTTTTCATACTGGTTGTATGTTGGAAATGATAACATTTTTGATGGGTTAAATCAAATGTGTTATTAAAATCAATTTCACGGTGGCTCAAGCCTGTAATCCCAGCACTTTGGGAGGCCGAGACGGATGGATCACAAGGTCAGGAGATCGAGACCATCCTGGCTAACACAATGAAACCCCGTCTCTACTAAAAAAAAATACAAAAATTAGACAGGCATGGTGGCAGGTGCCTGTAGTCCCAGCTACACGGGAGGCTGAGGCAGGAGAATGGCATGAACCCGGGAGGTGGAGCTTGCAGCGAGCCGAGATCCGGCCACTGCACTCCAGCCTGGGCAACAGAGTGAGACTCTGTCTCAAAATAAAATTTAAAAATTAATTTCAGCCAGGTGTATTGGCTCACGCCTGTAATCCCAGCACTTTGGGAGGCTGAGGTGGGCAGATCACTTGAGCCCGGAATTCGAGACCCGTGTGACCAACATGGTGAGAGCCTTGTTTCTACTAAAAATACAAAAATTAGCTGGACTTGGTGGCGGGCGCTTATATTCAGCTACTTGGGAGGCTGAGGCAGAAGAGTGGCGTGAACATGGGAGGCATAGGTTGCAGTGAGCCAAGATCGCACCACTGCACTCCAGCCTGGGTGACAGAGTGAGACTCTGTCTCAAAAAAATAAATAAATAAAAATTAATTAAAAATAGCCAGACATCATGGCTCACACCTGTGATCCACGCTACTAGGAAGGCTGAGGTGGGAGAATCACTTGAGACAGGAGTTGGGCTGCACTGAGCTATAATCTT